TCCTGCATCTGGTCCACCCAGACGCGGCCCAGGTTCGGCCCCTCCTCCGCCCTGGACTCGCGCGGGCCCTACCCCCTGCACCACGCTCTCGCCGTGTCTACGGGCCCCCGCCACCCTGCGGGCCGCTCCGCGGGCAGACGACCGCGTCGTCGTCCGGCGCCACGTTCGCAGCAAACCTCGCGCTGCCGCAGCGCCTTAATATCGTCCGCGCCCCCCCCATTTGGCTCGTCGCGCCTGCCGCTGCGTCGCGCCGATCTCGCCCACGAATGGCGTCTGTGACGTCCTGCGCTCGAAACGCACCCAGTGCCACCGCGAGCGGCAATAGAAGTCTCCCTCCACGACGACCTCCTCCCACGTTGTGCGCTTCTCGATCGGTTCGCGACCCTGCGCGCGACCCGTCAGCTCCAGCAGCGCGCGCCCGAAGCGTCCTGGTTGCCCGGCTCCATCAGCGCCCCGCGCATCGTGTCCCCGTCGGGCCCCTGGATGGAGGCGCGCGGCCGCGCGACCGCACTGTCGCCGCGACGTCAAGTACTCGCGCGCAGTAGCGACCAGCTGCGGCAGCCGCTCCTCCTTCAAGCGAGGCGCGGTCGCCACTGTCAGCGCGCGCATCCCGCCTTCCATTTCGAGGCAAGCCTGCGCGGCGCGAAGCGCGTCTCTCCGCGCCCTCTGCCGCTCGCATCTCCGCCAAGTCTGCCTCCGTCGGCGGCCCCGCGCCAGCTAGGCGCGCCGGCTCCGCGTCGAGAGGCGCGCGCGCCTTGCCTGTCACTGCGACGTCCGCTCTGACGCCCTCGCCGCCCCCGCCGCGCCCTCTTCGGCGCGCCCAGGCCCCGCGCCCCGCGCCAGCCCTGGAAGCCTCTGCCTCGCAAGTCCTGCGCCCCGACCGCCGTGTCCGCGCGCCGCGCCTCGTGCCGCACCCGGTTGTGTCCACCTCGGACGTCTTGCGCCCCGCCGTCGCCTCCCGCGCCCGCCTCCCGCGCCCGCCTCCCGCCGCCCTCGCCTCCCGCGCCCGCCGCCGCCATCCTGCATCGCGGCGCCCGCGACATCGCCGCCCTCGCCGCTGCGCGCAGCGCCTTGGTCATCCGACGCAACAGTTGCCTCTGCGCTCTCCGCCTGGCCTCGCTCCTCCGGCGACGTTTTGCGCCCTGGCCGCCGCCTCCGACCCCCCTGGCACGAGCCCTCCGCGCCGCCATCTTCCTGCGGGATCTCGCTGGCAATGTCGCCGACCTCTCCGCCGAGCGCAGCGCCTTGTTTTTCCGACGCAGTCATTGTTCCCGCGCACCGTGGTGCCGCTCCCCTCTCAAGTATTTCTGCCAATCCAGGACGGCGTCGCGAACCTTGTGATATTCATCTCCACGAGCGCGCGCAGCGCAGGCAGGCAGGGGCAGGCGCTCGCAGTTGCACCGATCGCACTGCGCCCAGTTTCGCGTGCAGAACAGGTGCGACGCCCCGTCGTCGGCCCCCGCGCTCGCCCCGGGCCCGCCGCCGCCGTCGGTTCCCTGGCCCTCGCCGGGCACCTGCCCCGCACTCGTTCGCGTGCAGCCTGTTCCCCTTAGACAGCTGGTCGATGGTCGGGTGGCGGTGTGGCCCTGCGAACTGCGCCAGCTACTTCTGCTTCATGGGCTATCTGCGAATTTCGTCGCTGGTCAAGCGCAGCGCCTCCATGCAGTCCCTGTCGCTGCAGTCCACCTCTTTGGTCTGAGCCCAGTACTTGTTGGAGACTGACCGGTTATGCCGCATGAGCGCCCTGCCCCCTTCCCGCCCATTGTACGACTCCCTCTCGGACCCGAGCCGAACTTCGCCCTTCCCGCAGCAATCCTGCACAGTCCGCTCCTTGAAATGATCGTGAACTTGCTTCAGACATGGCTCGTGCTCACATTTGGACAGCGCGAGCTGCCCGTGCTCGTCTGCCTCACAGACGACTCCACTTCGGGCGTCATCAAAGCAGCCACAGTCACATAGTGTGGCGCTCGTGCCATTGTTTCGATGGCCTATTCCGCCTGAGGGCAGACTGCACGGACATGTCCAACGCGAGTGCGCCCTGGACGCGCCCGTGGGGCGCGCATCCCGCAAACATCGCCCCCTGTCTGCGCCCGAGGCCGACGCCGTTGCCTCCCCCGCCCCCCTTCCCCACGTCAACCCTTTGCAGCTGTCCTCATCGACGTCGTCTGGCTGGAACCGCCTGGGCTTTTCCTCGGGCGCGAGCGCCCAGTCCGCGACCCCGCGCTTCCAGCGCGCTCGCCTGACCTCGCGCGGGCGCGCCGCCGGCCCGCCGACGTCGCCCGCGCGATCGCCGGCGCTCCCGGCGTCCACGGTCACTCCCAAGTTTCGCCGGCGCCTCCTCGCCCTTAGAATCGCTCGGCGGCGCCGCAGCCGCAGCCGCGCTCCGACGAGCGCGGCCGGAAACCGCTGCCTGCGGCGCGACAGCTCCGATCACTCCAGGGCAGCCCCCGCGTGGTGCTCTTCCACCGTTGCCCTTGGAAGCGTCGGCGCATCCTCCTCCGAATCGCCCCCGCTCCCTGACGCGCAGCCGCGCGTGGCGACCGTCGCTGCCGGTCGACTAATCGCAGACGCGTCCGCAGATTCGCTCGAATCCGCATCGTCCACAGTGGCTCTCCGAACGGCCAGCGTGCCTTCGCTCGAAGACGTCTGCGCGACATCCCGCCCGCCGGTCTGAACGCAGACGCCCGCGCGCACCGCGCCGTTCCACTCCTGCGTGCCGTCCGCCGCGTTGGAGCCCTTCCCGCCGGCCGCGCCGCGCGCCGATGCGCGCGCCGCGCCGCCCGCCGCCTCGTAGAACTGCGTTTGAAGGACGCATGGCGTGAGGGTCGATTCTGTGGCCACCCAGGCAATGCATATTATTGGGGTCTGGGCGAAGGAGGGACTATGGGTCAGCGATTGGGCGGGTTTGTTTATGGGGTGGAGCTCTGGGCCGGGGTGCATCTGGTAGCGTGGGGGGCTCTGCTCTTCGAGGGTTCAGAATTTCATGTGTCCGTCCAGAGGTTGGGCGGGTAATTGCCTAGCGAGCGAGCGCTTCAAATCTCGGGGGCGGGGGGCTAGAGCCGCGGGGCCTTGGCCCAGCGCTCGCGGGCCGCGCGGGCGAACATTGCCGGCTGCATCGAATGGGAAATCCTTGCATTCGAGTTGTGCGGGTGACGCGCCCGGGCGGGGGGGCATCGGGGAAGCCGTCTGCCGGCGCGGACGAGGCGATTGCCGCTGCTTGGTTTCCGCGCGGTGGCAGAGCCCATCTGCCGCCGCGAGATCCCGTGCGCTGGTTGATGCCTCTTGGGGTTTCTTGGTGGCCTTTTGCGGCGCATTGGGGGCGACTGGTTTGCTTCTTCGGGGCATGGCGGGGGCCGCGGGCGTCACTTCGAAAGGGAGGTGCTCGACGCGTCCGCTGGGGTCTTTTTGGAGTTCCCTGCGATTGTCGTGGAGCCTCTGTGCAATACCCTGGGGCTCATGTTCGGGCGATGTGGGTGCATCTGGGGACCTTGTGGAGCGCCCAGGGGGCGACAACACGAGAACGCCGTCAGAACGTCAGGAACATCCTGCGTCAGGATCATCAATCACATTCGCTGCGGGGGGGTCCTCTTTGATGACATCTTGGAGTCCTCTTGTGGCGTTTTCGAAGCCTCGTGGGTCGTCTGGAAACCAACGGGGGGCGGAACGCGCGTTTATTTTTTTGACGGCGCGAGATCGTTTGCTTAGCGTTTTGGGGCCGTCGGGGTGGCAGGGGTTTCTGACGTGGTGCACAAACCCCTTCGGATATCGTTGATCATGGCCTCTCTGGGCCTTGGTGGGGGTGCTGTTGGGCGTCTTGGGGCTTTCTTGGGCCTTCTTGGGAGGCTTGCGCCGTCTTGGCGTTCTTTTGAGGCCCTCGTGGGCTCGTTTGGGAGCCTCCGCTGGTTCGTTTGGGGCTCTCCTGGGAGCATTGCGGGGCTGGTCGGAGCACGTCGTGGGCCGTGATGGGCTTCTCTTGTGCTGTTTTGAAGCTCTGTTGGGGTGTCCTGTGGCTCTCGTTGAAGCGTCTGAAGCCGTCCTGGGACACTCTGGAAGGTCTCTTGGGCCGTCCAGGACGTTCTGGACAACAAGGCAGCGACTGTGCGAACCATGTGCGCTTTTCGCATAGAATGGGGCGACTTTTGCTTCCTGGGGGTTCGGGTCTTCCGTGGCGTCACGCGGGCTTTTTGGGATGCCTTTGGGGTTGTCGTGGGCTCTCCTCGGAGCGCCCTGGGGCCCTCTGAACGCCTTCTGTGGCCTTGGTGGCTCGTGGCGCTCCGCAGACGCCACCTTCGGCTCCGGAACCCGAGCAAGCCGGAGCAGACCTCGGGGGAGCTCGTCTGGGGGTCGTCCAGGGCCAAGGGGGTGGGGGGTGGGGGTCGAAGTTCCGATGGGGTATCCCTGGGGGTCGTCGCTCGCTCAGGGGGGGGGGGGCCGTCTTGCACGCCTGGAGACCCACAAGGGGTCGGCGGTTTTTGGTGCCCTCGGGCTTTCCAGGGGGGCCTCTTGGAGCACTCTTTGGCCGCGTTGGAGGCCTCTGAGGGGCCTCCAGGACCGTGTCGGGCCATCTTGAGGCCATTCTAATGACACCGCCTTGCGTGCATCCTTGGCCTCCATTTTGGGGACCATCTTGGCCGTCTTTTGCGGCTGTCGCAGGCCATCTTGGAGCCATCTGGAGCGGACCCGACCCGGCTTCCCACATGGCTGGCGGGATTGGCCGTGACACCTCTGGGATCTCTGAAAATTGAAACAGTGAAAAGTTCGGCGCGCCATGCGATGCGCCTCCCTGGCAAGTCAACAGGGGGCGGCGGATCCGGAGGCTGGTCGCCTATCCCGCCACCGTGCCTTAGTGCGGTCTCCCGCATGCCTGCGGGGGTCGCTGAGGCTCTTCGCAGCCAGTGGGAAAGGTTCGGCGCACCTGGCCAGGCGCGCCCCTGTGGCCAAGCTTCTTCGATCAGTGCCGTCGCTGCTGTCACGTCACAGTCACCCCTCCTCCTGTCTCGCCAGTTTCTTGCTGCCCCCCGAGCCGCGCGATGACTGCGGCGGCCCTGCGGCCCACGGACTCGTCCTTGAACCAGGCGCCTACTGCCCGTTCTCGCGCCATAGTATTGGGACTCTCGGCGCGCAGCTTGCCATGGCTGGTATTCCGGTCTTGTCTGCATGCGTGGTTGCCTCGACGAGTGATCGTGTCCTTCAGTGACAGCTTTTGTGTGCTAGGTATCGCTTCGTGGTTCAGTCGTTGCATTTTGTCTGTGGTGAGTGTAGGTGAGGCGCATCGTTGGGGAGCTTCGCTATGGGTTGGACAGGGGCGGGTAACTTTTGATGCATTGTGCAATTCTGCAGGGATGCCTAGGCTTTTGGCCAGTCTGACACCATTTCCCAAACTGATCCGATGTCAATCTGAAGTCAGAGTGTCCGAGCACCTCCTTTTTTTTCCAAAGCATCGCAGCTGCATTTTTTGGCTGTGAAGCATGAAAGGTCCCAGGCACTTAAGATCAAATATCAAATTTCACACCTGTGGAGCTTGCCGAAAACTTGAAAGCGTGTTTCGATGCGCGAGCTGGGAGGCTTTCCAGGTTCTGGAGACGCTATACACTCTACGCATCTGCACCACTTTGAAGTGTTGTTGTTTACGTTTTTTGGTGCTGGGGTATTATCGCAAGGATCGAATTGAACTGCCATATGTGCTGATTTGTGTAGCTGAGACCTTGCGATTTTTTGGCTTTCTCCACAGGGAGTCTCGGGGTGGTCCTGGCAGGAGCACTAGAATGATGATGCTGATGATTCTGATGATGATGATGACGATGACGATGATGATGATGATGATGATGATGATGATGATGATGATGGTGGTGGTGGTGGTGGTGATGATTATGATTATGATTATGATTATGATGATGATGATGATGATGATGATGATGATGATGATGATGATGATGATGATGGGAGGAGGAGGAGGAGGAGGAGGAGGAGAAGGAGGAGTATCAATCTTGAAGTTACCCACGCGAGCCACAACATACCACCGTCCCTCCCAGCACCAACCTCCGTCCGAGAAGGAGAAGGGCGCATCCGGACCAGTCCAGAGTTCTCCTACGCTGAATTTCAGCCGGATCCGGCGCCCCCTGGTTGCTTGCCACAGGGGTGCACAGTGTGCTAGATTTTTGGTTGGTTTCTATGGGCCTGCGGCCCACCCGCCGGCCACCTGAAGCCGCGTAAAGATCTCAACGTGCACAACATATTGTCCCAAGACGGCCTAAATGGCCCAAGATGGCCACTAAGATGCTTCCAAGACGGCCAAGATGGCCCAAGATGTCCTCCATGACGGTCCCAAGACGTCTCCAAGACGGGCCGAGATGCTCCCACGATGGCCCAAGATGGTTTCAAGATTGCCCTAGACGGCCCAAGAGGTCTCCAAGACGGCCCAAGAGGCCTCCAAGAGGACCTCCACGAAGGCCGAAGAGGCCAGCAGCAATGATTTCCGACTGTTTTTGTAAGATTTTTGATTGTTCCACGGCCCAAGACGGCCCCAGAGGCCACCACGATGGCCCCAAGAGCGCCCACTATGCCTCCGAGATGGCTTCCTTACGGCCCAAGGGAACCCCAAGGCGGCCCCAAGAGGGCCCCAAGACGGCTCAGGAAACTTTCCAGACGCCCACGATGGCCTCCAAGACGGCCCTGAAGGCCCCAAGTCGGCCCAGAGAGGTCCCAAGACGGCTTCTGACGGCGTCAGACGGACCAGGCACACCCTCAGACGGCCAAAGAGCTCCCCAAGATGCCTACTTCTCCTCCTCGTTATTTTTCCTCCCTTTCCTCTTTGTCTTCTTCATCCCACACGTGTTCTCCGAATGATTTCCACGACGACTGGGGGAACACGTAGTCCGATAGCTTGGCCTAGCTCTGGCCGCAACGTTCGATCGCATAGGCTCTTCAAAAACGCAAGGGGCGGCGGTGGTTCTCCGTAGGCGTCGTCGAGAAGAACGGGGCAACCGGTATTGGATTATCTAAGATGCCCGATGCCAGCAGGACTTTGTGAGAGGTTCGGAGCTAGATAGTTCCTGTTTTTGGCTGTTATGTCATATGTCAGAGCTTTGGTCAATCCCATAATCCCCGACGCCGCGATGACGATGACGATGACGATGGCGATGATTCGATGCTGCTGATGATGAAGTGGATGCTAATGATGATGGTGATGATGGTGGTGGTGGTGAGGATGATGACGACGATATTGATGATGAATCTGATGATGACGACGCTGACGACGCTGGTTGGTAATGGTAGTGGTGACGATAATGATAACGATGACGATGATAATTGCGAATGTTATTAAGATTTGGGCCACGATGACGATGATGATGAGTCTGATTTCTATTGGGGGGGATCATCATGTAGATTTATGATGATGGTGATGGTGATGTTGGTGGTGCGGATGCTGACGACGACGATGATGCTGATGCTTCTGATAAAAATTGGTGATGGCGACGATGATGATGACGATGATGATGATGGTGGTGGTGGTGATGATGATGGCGACGACGACAACGAGGATGGTGACGATGTCGGTGATGATGACGGCAGTGATCCAGATTATACAGGGAGTGGGGAAGAGGATTGGGAGGAGCAGGAGGAGGAGGAGGACCAGTGCAAACCCTAGACTCATCAACGATGTTGAAATACACCCTCCCTCCAAGATCCCTCTTCATAGGCCCCAGCAAGGGGTCATTTCCACAGGGAATTGCCCCATTGGTGGACAACCGTGTGAACATCTTGAAGCGTGCCAAGGCACAGGACTTCAATGCCGCGAGTTAACCTGACCTTTAACCTCTTGTCGATCCTGAATCCTTCCAGAACACAGTCTTTGGTTGTCAACGCCACGAGTCAACGTGACTTTCGTGCCCTAACAATCCTCAATCCATCCAGAACCCCATTTCTGTTACGTCGACCATGAGAACCAGTGAACCTCTTGCACATGTTTAGAATGAATGTGCGCGGCGCTCAGACGAGAGCCACATTTTGGAAACGACCCGCCAGCAATCAGTGAATCCCTTGCGATTTGTAGAACGACTGTGCGCGGCGCTAAGGCGGAAACCACATCTTGAAACGAAGCGTCCTCAATCCGTGAAACCCTTGCAATTCTTTTGAACGAACGTGGGTGGCGCTAATGCGATATCCACATTTCGAAATCGAACCGCCCTCCATCCGTGAAGCCCTGGCTTTTTTTAAAAAATCGAATGTGCCTGGCACCAAGGCGAGATCCACATTTTGAAAACGAACCTCCACAATGCGTGAAACTCTGGTGGCATTTTTTTTGGAACGAATGTGCACGGCACCAAGGCGAGATCCACATTTTGAAAGCGAACGTACCCAATCCGTGAAACCCTGGTGGTAGTTTTTTTTGTAACGAATGTGCGCGGCGCCATGGCGAGAGCCACATTTTGAAAACGACCCGCCCTCAATCCTTGAAGCTCTTGCGAATTTTTAGAACGAATGTGCGCGGCGCTGAGGCGAGAGCCACATTTTGAAAACGACCCGCCCTCCATCTGCCAATTTTCAGCATCAGGGTCATAAGTGGTGGGGAAGGCCCAGCCTGGGCGAAACGCCTGGCCCGCCCTTTCGACCAGCCTCCGGGTGCGACAGGGAAGAGTTATCTACAAGGAATAGGAATGGAGGAGGAGGAGGAGGAGGAGCGAGGAGCGAGGGCGCAATCCAGCGGCAAGTCACACCACCGTGCTAGCCCAACATGTCCGGCGGCGACTGTTCGAGGGGGGGCGGAGGCCGCCGCGTGTGTCACCTCGTGTTTCCAGGCTTTGGGGGACCGTGGTGTGGACGATGAGGACTATGAGGATGATAGGGATGCTGCTGCTGATGAGGAGGACGAGGAGGACGAGGAGGAGGAGGAGGAGGAGGAGGAGGAGGAAGACAGGAGGGCCGTCGCTTGCGACACCTTTCGTCTTCACAGTTTGAGGAGTTCCCATGGAACTTCCCATGGAACTCGTTTGTGCCGTCTTGGGGCTGTTTGGGCCTCCTGTGAGGCAGTCTTGTGGGTCCCTTGGGCCCTCGTGGGCCGTGTTGGGGCTCTCTTGGGCCGTCTTGGGGCCCTCTTGGCCCTAGTGTCTGTGCCTGCGAGCAGTCGCGGGGTCGTCTTGGCGCCGTCCTGGGCCATTGAAGGGCCTTGTGAGGCCGTCTTTTGTCCCACGGGAGGCCCGCTTGGGCCGTCTTGGGGCCACCTTGGATGCCTGTTGGGCCATCGCGGGGTGCTTTGGAGACATCCGGGGACCCTCTTGGAGGCCTGTTGGGCCGCCGTCTTGTGTCCATCGTGGAGGCTTCTTGGGCCGTCTGGAGCTGACGGAATCCCGAAGAATGCGAGTATGCGAAAACCACAATAACCCAAAAGAAATCGGACCCTGTTGGAGGTCCTCTTGTGGCCCTTGTGGGCCCTCTTCGAGGCATCTTGGGCTGGCTTGAAGCCGTACTCTTCCGCATTGGGGCCATCTGGGGCCGTCGTCGGGGCATCTTGGGCCATCTTGGTATCCTTGATTACCTGCATGGGCCTCCTTGGAAGCTCGAGGCGCGTATCTATCGTTTCTATCGGGGGATGGTGGCCTCGGGTGCGTGGCGCCATGATTTTTGTTGTTCCCGCGCGCGGCGCGTGTGCGTGTGTGTGTGTGTGTGTGTGTGTGTGTGTGTGTGTGTGTGTGTGTGTGTGTGTGTGTGTGTGTGTGTATGTGTGTGTGTGTGTGTGCGTGCGTGCGTGCGTGTGTGTGTGTGTGTGTGTGTGCGTGTGTGGGTGTGGGGGTGTCTGTGCTCGCGCGCGTGTGTGTGTGTGTGTGTGTGTGTGATGTGTGGACTGTGGCCTGGCCACGACGGCAGGATGCAAAGGCTGTCAGGTCATGAGGGGGATGCCCAGTGAAGTATGGGTCCCTGGGCAACGCACGCCGTTGTGCGTCATGTGCAACACGAAGGAGGGCGAATGCCATGTCTGCCGTGGCCCATTTCACTTTCGCCCATGTCCCCCACCCATATTTCGGCCGGTCAATGTCTCCCAGGGGGGGGGGAGCGAGGCCGACAGGACGTTCGAAGG